AGGTTTTGAGAATACATCGATCATAAATCTAACTTAATCTCCGCCCATTTACCTGTAAATCTTGGTGTAAATAGAAACTTTGACAAAGTTTCCGATGTGTTAAAACTCCGTTACAGAAAGGAAAGAGAATTACTTGAAAATTATGGAGAAGCTTCTCTTAACCAAAAGGAACGTTTAAGGTTTCCTTTCAGTAACGAGTGTCTATTGAGGTTCTGAATTCCGATTTTTTTCTTAGATTGTCACCCCATAAAAAGGCTAAATTAACTTAATTTGATTATCTGTGAATTAGTCATGACGCGAATGACATGTGAATCACGTGTCAGTAAAAATTGAAAGGGAAATGACAAGCTGGATAAAGTCAAAGAACTGCATCTGATGATTTCCATTTTTATTGTAAGATTGTGAGCTTGAAAGTTCAATCATTCTCTTGTTAAAGTGGATTCATTTGCTGTAATTAACAAAAATCTCTCAGAAATCCAATCCACGACGACATTTTCGTAACATTTTACACTATTAGTAGCCGACTTTATACAAAAACAATTAGTAATTGATTTGCAATAAAGCTTAAAGTTCATTCTGCATAAATCTTATTGAGTCCTAAGGTAATTAGTTTGGCATCGAAACAGTTTCTTGCACCAAACTTAGGCTGAGCAGGTAATTTAGTTAAATGTCACATTTAAACGAGAAGTATAGCAGGTGCTCTCCGCCTCAACCATTATGGACGGGCCTTCAATTGTAATAAAACAGCAGTTAACCTGTGCTGGTCAGGGTCTCTTAGTTTCGCAGTCTATCCTTTAATAATAAATAAGTTGCAATTTTTTAAGAAGAAAAAGCAGGCTGTAAATGATATTTGATTTCTCGTGCCGTGAACCCAAGCTTTAAAAATGTGAGTTAAATTTCTAAAACGAAAACGTCAGCTTTTCACAGAATGAAGTCAGCCGTATTTGGTTGGATCATGCTCTGTTGTGTATTTCCCCAAGGTTCAGGTAAGCAGTACAAGCCTGTCCAAATGAAGAATATTCGTCGTGGCATCAGAACGAAACACTTCATTGCTTAAATCTTTTTAACTTACTTTTGTCTAAAACAGTCATGACAGTACCTAAGGGTTGTCATTGCCAGCTTAATGTTTGACTCAGCTCGTTGTTTCACTTGTTTTGCTTTTCTCACCTCAATATGGTTTAATACTAAACATTGGCTGACCAGTTCTTTGCAATATCATTGACAACAGACTGTGTCTTAATGATCGACGTTCGTACTGATGTGTGTGCGTACTTTAGACTTGAGAGGTACGTTACTCTTCGTAATTTGGGATTTCGACTGACTTAACAAAATAAATCCTAAAAAAAAAGGACTACCTTAATGGAGGCGTAAAAGCCTATTGGCTACATAGCGCTCCGAGTCGAATGCACTGATGTTGACAAAATACTTTGTGTTAGAGCCAATAGCAGTTTGGAGCCAAGCTTATGTAGACGGAGGGCTGTAAAATGTTTTGAAGTTAAACCACAAATGTTTTAAAGAAGCCAAAGGTATACTGAAACCCAGTATTCTTTTCATTCACGCTCGCTGCAGATATTTCTTTACCCTTTGATTTGAAAAGTCAAAACAGGTGCTTTGCTGGGTTAAGTCACTGTGTAATCATCTCTTGTGTATGCATGTAGAACCTTAGGTTGTATCCGGCTCGTAATCTTCTTTAGGACGTGAACCGCGGAGATTAGCCCCATGTAATTGAGGTATACTGCAAGTCGACTAACACATATCATAAACACCTTTGCAGAATGCATGAACATCCATGGAGGGCGACATATAAAAATGAAAAAAGAGTGGAAAAATAAGAAAATGATTTTCAAAACGGAATTCCAAGCGAAAGGAAGTGTTACAGCCAGACCAGAAATCGAAAGCAAAAACATGGAAAAAATGTTGGCCGGGTAAGCATCCGTTATCTGTCTCAAGTTTATCTACTGCTTTTTTCAATTTTTTCATTTCTTTTTTTTTTTGTATTTTTGCCCAAGGGGAGGGGCACTAGTTAAGCTTGAGGGTTTTTATTTCAGCGTTAGAGCTCTCTGCTAAGGGCAATTATGATGATTACCAAAAGTCTCTGTTATCATTTTGTTTTCAGGAGAATAGCACCCAGTAAACCTTTGACACAGAAAAGATCAACAAGTTCTTCACAAGACTTAGACGGGGCAGCAAAGATCATTTCTCTTCCAGCAACTAGAAAAGATGTTTTAGTGAGAAATCCCCAAAATGTCCACTTCGCTAAGAAAGTCGTAGTTGGTAGTCAGTTCCGAAAACTTTTAAAAAAACTGTACCAAAATCATTCGAAAGATGTTCAGGCTATCAAAAGAAAACTAACTAGTGAACAACTCCAGTTGTTAGAATCAAAAGAGGAAGGCGAGGACGATAAAGCCGACATATACAGCATCGAAGGTAAATCAGAAGCTTCCAAAAATAAAACAGTCGTCGAACTCCGAGCTGCAATACTGAGGTTATTGAACGAAGTTGCAAAAAAGGCTAAATCAGCCCACAACGCTGAACAAAGATATAAACAAGACGAATCATCGAGACACCCTTTTAGAAGAAAAAAATTCGGCCAGACTTTAAAGACAGAGATAGAAGAAAGTTATGATCATAGCAGAAGCCCATCTTCCATAGCTAAAGGAGAGGATCTCTCTGCAAAGCGCGCAAACTATTTGGATCTTCTTAACTTCATCACACGAATGAAAAGCACGGACATTGGAAAAGATGTTGATTTGTACAACACTGATAGTATGCAGAGTTCGAGTATGATGGTAAACAGTGGCATGAATAAAATGCTGAACTCAAGAGATCTAATGACACAAATTCCTAACACAGGAAATAGGCAACAAGTAAAGGAAGAAAAGGGAGTCTTGCCAGGAGAGGGAATGCAAATGCAGGAATTAAATCTTGCGAAACAAAGGTGGCTTCTTGAAGACCAGTTGGAAAATCGCATCGCTCAACTTCAGTCGAAAGCGCGATTACCTGTGCCCCAACAAGAATTTCCACAAATACAAAATTCTCAAAACAATGACATGACAGACTTTATGCAACGTCTTCAGAATGTGATCACAACTCCTTCACTTGGGCCTATACCCCTTTCATATCGAGGACCAGCCATGTTTCAAAAGCCGTCATTTCTTCCTCGTGTTAATCAATATCTACCTTTTGCACGACCATTCCCCGCCACCGAAACGCGGTTACCTTTCTATCGACCAATGAATCCAAGACCTCCATATCCAATGGATGATGAGGGAGAAGATGATAATGAAGATGACGATGATAATTCCGACTATGACAATGATGAACGAGATGAGCCTCCACCACATCATTCGGACCGTGAGCACGAAGATAGTTACAATGCTGACGAAGATGAAGGGGAGCAAAGATACCCTGACATAGACGAAAGATAACACTTTCGTTTTTGTCAGCTTCTATTGACGTTCTGTATATAGATAATGTCACAACTCTGTTATTTCATTTTAATGTTATTTCGTTTTAAGCTAGTCCGGTTACAACAAATTTTGTAAAACCCCAGTATGTGTGGAAGTCTTGAGATCTGCTCTGCTCTAGGAATGATAAATCTTAATGTTTCAATTAGTTCGAAGGGTTCCACCTAAAGCGTTTAGATCTCGGTTTATGTTTTTGTCAAAGATGATCAAGATGGCCAAAACAATAATAGCCTACACTATTGTGTGTCTCACGTCGTAGTCACTTCTGCTGTAGATCGCTAATGCAGACCCCTAGGACTACTCCAAAAGTTGAGAAGTCGACTAGTTACGTGTCACCTAAACATAAGATTGTACTCCACTGTGATTGGTTGGTTTCCACACTTAACCACCAGAGTGACTAATTTCTAATATCAGCCCTGAATAAACAATTATGTTCATGAAAACAAAGAAAGAGATCGCCAATTAGAGAAGCTCTTGATTGTTAAACAAATTCTCCTTGTCGGTATCGTACGACAAATATAACGAGCAGCAGAGGGTTTAACGATTGTAATTGACGCATTTTGATAATTGATGTCCTGATGAAGTGTTTGCACAGCGATCCACTAACGTAAGGCTCTGCTGTTGATATCTTTTTCTATCCTGGATGCCTCTCTAGTTACCACGGCGGAAATACTTATATATTTTTTTACCACTCTTCTTTACCATGATGAGTAATTACACCATGCTTTCACCAGTTATGTCAACATGACCCTAGATGGATAGAAGTTGAAATAAAACCGTGAAAACCACCGGTAAGAGTGTTACTTAGCAACACCACGCAATCGCAGGATCAATCTTACAAAACTTTTAAGAATTAGTTGAACTCCATTTACGAAGTGAATCTATATTCACTCTGCAGAGCTGAGTTCGGTAATTTTATCGGAAGTCTACTTAGCTTTGAAGGAAATGAGATGGCAAATATTTCGCAATGTAATTCTTATTTCAATAATTCTTATGTCTAAAGTTGCAAATGGAAGACCTTCGACAAAAAGGATACGATCCGGTAAGTTTACTTAAGATCAACTATTCGTTTCTAAATTTGACCTTCATCAAGTTGTGTTTCGGTTTACCGAATTCATTTGCGCTTAAACACGGATAAATAACCGTTACAGCCGATTTTCTATGAAGATAAGTTTTACAGAACTGTAAGGCTGTAAGACTATAAGACTGTGAACTGTCTTTTATCAAATATATATGTAGTGAGATAATGCACGCAGTTAGATATCAATACCAAAATGAAGCAGCAGTAATGGGAAGTTTTGGCAAAGAGAATCCTATGAAACATCGTTAAGTGTTATGTCAAGTAGCGTAACCTGCCACTGTTATGGTTTAAGAACACAGCTGATTGGGACAGTAACACCTAACAAACTTCATTAGCGACTAAACTAAACAAGTGATTAAAGAACTTAGATTGTAAGACGATCATGGATGAGTTGGCTTTAATCTTAAAAGTTCAGTTTTCATCGCAACCATTAAGAGCATTATCTTTATCTTCCATGTGATGAACGATAGGGTTAGTTTGACATCGTTTGTCCCTCCTATTCAACAGAGAAAGTCAAGCCCGGCCTAATCACTGTTCCAATCATGAAGGATGCTCGCGGAGTGCCACACGAAACCACTGCGCAGGAAAATGCGAAGTCTTATTTGACCGGCCCTGCTTACAGGATCCTGAACAAGGACAATACTTTTGACTCTAAGGATCCTTTCATTTTCTTTCCACTGATTGCCGTTGAACACCCAAGAGGATAAGTTGCAAAAATTAAAACCGTCAGAACATCTGCTAGTAATTGTGTGATACTAAAATCGTAAAACATATCTCCACAGAATCGGTGAGATGAATCTTTAAACGAAGAGTTGCGATTAACTTCTACCTAAATTTCGCCTTCCACAGCAGAATTTTAGCTATTTACACCTGTTCACTTGTAGCCTCAGTATCAGTGCAATAAAGACAAATCTAATAAGTTGTTCCTAAGTAACCAAACATCCTCGTAATAACAATCTTAACAAAGAAAGGGTGATAAAAAGATTAAACAAGTAAAGCGAGAAGTGAGAAGAAAGTACGTTTCCAAACCTTGCAAAAAGACACTGTGTAGTCTGAAAAGGAGAGGCATTTCAGTTCAGGAACGAAAATAAAAAAAGGCAAAACCGTTGCTGTCTTTTCTGAGAAATCTATCTACATGAAAGAAAATAAATACGTCATTATAAATATTTCTGAAACTGATCACCAATTCTTTAGAAAACTGGGAAGATTGTAGTCACAACTGACACAGAGGGGCAAACGTACTGCGTTTGATTTAGAGTTGTGAACTTATCTGAACGAGTCGGGGCGATGAAAATTGGCTTAGGTATTTCAAAGGTCATTTCAGAAGGCGAAGCATAGTTTTGTAGATAGAATAGTTTTATGAATAGAATAGTTTTACGGATAGAAAAAAAATATAGCCGTTGTTGCTGCAAAAAATATTTGTCGAAGATTTTTTAAAGATTCACCGTATCTGAGAAGTATTAAGAAAAGAGAGTTCAAACAGGCTTTCAAATATCTAACGATGTGGCTGAGTTATCTGTTGTATTTGAAAAGAAAGGGTCCTATTCGTACAAACCTGACATGTTTTACGTTTGTTTTGACAAACTTTACTGGTGGCGGGTACAAACTAAATATTTTTTTCAGTTTGAAAAACTCCATGTGGTTTTACGTTTGTCTTTAATTTACATTCCGTTGTCGAAATATTTTTACGAGGAAAGAAAAGTAAAAAAAAATCAAAACCTTTGACTTGGGTTTTGCTATGTACTTACCTTTTGCACGTGGACTTCTTATTCTAGTTATCGTTCTTGGCCAAGAGGTGTTTGCTCGACCAGCAACAGGTAAGTTCAGATTCATTTCTAAATAACAGGCAGAAATTTGAAAAGTTGTCACAGTGTATTGTGATTTTTCACTGGTCCGAAGAAATGGCCGATTATAAGTCTTTGTATTTTGCGGAGTAAGTTTAGATTCAGTTTCAATAATGACGATAACAATAAAAGCTTGTTTCTATGCCACGTTCCGAAAAACAGGTATGGTGGAGATAATAGGGCTTAAACTGGGTCCCTTTTAGAAGCTTGCTCATCATTCTTTCGATTAAGCAAACAATTTGACGTAAGCATCGGGAAAATGATCAAGAAACGTGGTCTGATTAGGAAGAAATCTTGCTTTGCTGAAAGCTAAGAATTTCTCTGAACCACGTGAGTTTCGGGGTTTTAACTCATAACTCATAACTCTTCAAATTTTGAGCCAGCGTTTCCAACTGTGATTATCACCTAAATTCAAGGAGAACTAAAAAGACCCAAGCAACTTCTAAAGTCTCATCCAAGTTTATACCGACGACAAGAAGTCGTCGCTGTTCCGCCCGTGGCGACATCAATACTTGAAGGACCTTACCTTCCTCCTGCAAATGCAGAAAATGAGTTGCTTGTTGGACCTACCGGTGTACCAAATCCTCTGCATCGCGGCTATCCGTCGTTTCCAGGACCTCACATCTCACATTTGTTTCCCTACGGCTCCTACGCTAGATTTCGTGGATTTTACCCTCATCAGAGCTACTATCCCATGATACCCTGGGGACTTCATCATGGTTATACTCACTGGCCTCATATGCAGGCTTCAGGACCAGTTTTCCTAGCAGATCCAAATGACGGGATGTATCAGGAGCCTGTCACTGGGACTATGATTCCCCGACCGATAATACCTCCTCAGTATCCAGGATTCTATATGAATCACGCTGTTGAAATGTACAGACATAATCATCTTGGACCAATGTTTCTTGGAGGGCATGGGGCAAGAATGTATCGTAAGAATGCTATAAGAAACTAACTAAGTTATTTATTGCAATGGCTATCATCTTTATCTGTTCGAAATTTTGAGTCATTAACGCGGAAAGTTTTTTTTTTCCACCGATCATGTGTTGGGTATCTAAGTAATAGACCGCACACTGTATCGGTTTACCGCCATAATAATCCACGCGGGATATTGGGAGAGCACGAGAAATAGAGAATAATACATGGGCGCGCGTGGATATAGAATTTCTCTTCGAGTGTTCAACCCGATAGCTCACGAGTGAGCGCAGCGAACGAGCGAGATGTCGAGTTGAACACTCGAAGAGAAATTCCACATCTACAAGCAACCATGTATTATTTTGTTTATCATATAAACACAAAAGCCCTTTACTGAGAAGAAAAGCCGACTTCATTAATGAATGAAAATAAACGAATTGATTATTCCCGAATAACTATCGTAGAGTGGGTTAGCGCTAACTCTTAAGGTGGAAAATGCCTTGAATCATGATTACGAAAACAACAATGGTCGGAATTTTCAATTTAAAAAAATCCCATTTATTGACTTTGTCCTTACCGACAGAAGAAGTCTTTCAAGTAAACGGTCAAAATCGGCTGGTGACAAATCTTCCAGTTGTCGATTTCCATTCTCAGCCGAGAGAAATGCTAACACCAAAGTCACTGAATAAGTAACTTTTGGTTTTTCTTTTGGTCTATTGTTCTTATTCCCCTTCTAGGAAAGTTTGAACCTCGCTGTCTGTCAGCAATACGTATTTTTTAGTGTTTTACCCGCCGGAAATCCCTGTATAACACCACAGTTTATGTGATAAGAGTTTTTAAATCACGAGCAAGAGGGAAGTGATTTACAAACTTTTTGAGTGTTCACCCAACATCCCAAGTGAGTTATTACGCTATTAAACCTGTAGAGAATTGAGTCTACAGCGTTTGTAAAACAACTAGGGGTTTACTAGTGCAGTAAATGATAGGCTTTTGACCAATCAGGGCGTTCGTAGTCTCTCAGATATTTTACATCAAGCTTTAATCAGTTTCGTGCACCATTATTCATTAAATTGTATGTCGCGCTATTTTCACCCGGTTGGTTCTAATATACAAGGCGATAAAGCAAACGCTCGAACAAAACTCAATGATTTGCACATTTTAAGCGACAGAGTCTTGACAGATTTTCTCTTTATCTCCTGCAGCCGTTGATGTTACCAACGTGGAAGATCAAATTTTAGACAATTCAGCGAATTTACACAGCTCCCCAATTGAGGATGTCGCTCATAAAATGGAAGAGATTAGAGAGGAAACTGAACTTGAACGACAGAAACTAATGGAAGCAATGAAACTAAAATCTGCGAAGAAGAAAGTACAAAAGCAGTAGCTCGTGGACATTAATAAGCGCCTTCAGATAAAATATTATGTTCATGAAAACTATATGTCAGTGAGTCCTCAACCAAATATTCTGGTTCACAATGATGGGAGAAACTAGCTTTAGAACTACTCTCGTTATGGATAGGCTTCGAGATTCTTCTTGTTTTTTTCTTTATTCTTACTTTCTGCGGCCAGCGGCTACTCCTTCTCCTTCTACTTCTCACTGACCTCTAATTACTTTTTACTGCCTTCTACTGCTGTTAAGTAAAACTCTAAAGAAAGTGCGTCCCTAGAAGAACACTTCCCTACACAGAAAATCGACGAGAGGAATCACAAGAGAAATCTCAAGATGTTCTCCCGCTATGTTGTAATAAAATGCAGAAACAAGTATTCACGACTGCTTTCAAAAGAGAAATGTAAACAAGTTTACGATATAATGTTTTGGTATCGTACCGAAAAATTGTGTTTAGATAGAAACTGCATACACATACAACATGAACTAAAGGCAACATTTAAATACACGGTGGCGATACATACATACAAGCAAAGCATATTTCTAGGCAATTTAGAAATTCTATTTCAAGCAAGGCTCTCGCTCTTTGTGTAAAAACTAAAGCCCTATATCAGTCCTTTCAGCTCTAAGTAAAATTTTAAGAAATATGCATTCTTAATCAGTCATTATTTCATTTCACGACTGGAAATATTCCAGTACCGAACCAGATTGGCCTTAGAGCTGGAAAAACTACAACCGACCACTTGGTTGAATTAGCAGATGATACGACTGAAGCTACATTGACGAAGGTGGTTATGATGCGTCTATATTGATTAAATTGGTAATTAAACCTAGCCAGAAAAAGTGTAAACAAAATTAAAAAACTGAAACGAAATGTAAAAAGCCAGTCTCTTGTAAGTGTTTATAATGCACTTGTATATCCTCATCCAACACATGGCTGCATGTTATGAGGAAATAATTATGAAGCTCCATTGTCTCAGTTCAGTGGTAAAGCTACAAGACCAATTGTAAGAATCATAAACAATGCACTATTTCGTGACCATATTACTCCCCATTATGTAAACCTTGGGCTAATTAACCTTCCTGCCATAATTAAGCTACGTACGTGTCGACTATTTTATGAACATTTCGCAAATAAAAAATCAATCTAATTTCGCATTGTCTTTTGTATCTGGGAACCATGATTATGCCACTGGAAGCACACATTTGCAGCAGCTGAACCCTAGCCCCATTCAGAATAAAAAGTTATTGGATACTTCTATATGACCATTCTTTGTGATCCAACTTAATCGAGCACTTCGACTTTGTAATCTTGACAATCTTGTAAAAATCTCACAGGTTTCGAATAGATGCAGCGACGTTAGCCGCTGCTGGGTTTTTATGTATTTCGATACGCAATTGGCCAATTAGGAGGATAGAAATCTGATGCTTTCCGATAGATATTCTGACCATGTCTTTCAATAATTGTCGGAAATTCTTTATGTCGGACCACACGCATGTGCTATGGTAGCCCTATTTTTCATGCCCTCAACTTTCCAAGAGTTTAACAAATTAAAACTCATTACTAATTTATTAGCAAAGCTTGACCGTTGACCCAGAAATCGACCAAAATTTCCATGTAGCTATAATTTCATAATTTTAAGCATTTGCAGCAAGGACATAATAAAATATAAGCCGGTCAAAGTAATAAACTTATTTCTCAGTAAAGTATTCCTGTATCTTACTCATTTGTGAACAGAAAAAGGGATGTCTGGTTGCCAAGCGACCACGTGAAATTTTTAAATCATAGATATAGATGGTGTTTTTCTGGAGCTTACTGATGACCAGTTTGTAACTGATCACATAGGTGGTTAGGAGCTAGTTTGTTAGGGCATTTATGGACCATTACAGCATCGTTGACCTCTGATTTGTCGTTGATATTGAGCCATCCAAGTGATTCGAAACTATTACTAATTAATGTGGTCACATATCTTAAGTCCTAAGATGATTCTTATAGCAAAGTTTTGCAAAAATCGACACTTACGTATATTAGTGCTAGGGTGCTTGCTCATACTGAAGCATGATAAGCGTTAAAAGAGAGGTAACCCGTGAAATAATTACGAAACCTTAAATATTTCGTTGCATGAAAGCAATCCTTAAGCACTTTTAATTTGATTTGCATCAAGAAGACTTTTTCTCAAAACAAAAAAAATGTTCATCCTTACACGAATTGAATAAGGTCACGACTAATAATGATAGTTACAAATTATGGCGAGCTGGTCTATGTTAGAGATAAACTGTCCAGCCATAATGACGATTAACATCAAAATGATATTAAACAAAAGTCCTCATGTTTGACTTACGGAATCTTTAAGTTTACCTGTCACCCGTAATAGTTATTGTTAATTTGGGGTTTAACCATGACTATTTTGGACCTCAAAGGAAAACAATAGCATGGTATTGTCATCCCATTAAAGAGTCCTTTTTATGACATTTTGCGTGGCAGATATAAAGACAAACTCCGAATAAATTTGATCAGAAAACAAGTTTATCAGGAAAAATGAAGAATAATAGTCCACTCTACCTCGCTTTGATTATTCTGATTTCAACGACTATTGAGCCAAAGCATATAGCAAGTAAGTATTCTTCGACAATTTCAGTCCGTTAATTGTCTGTGTCAGTGTTCATACACATTTTCCATGGCTTAAGGTTTTGAAATGTTCAATATTCCTTCAATTTCTAAGTCAGCTCTCATGCTCGCATGGAAAATTGGATTATGCGGGGAACAAAAACTTTTTTGTTCTATCACATATGGATTTTCGATTACATACTACACTCACAGAATTCGTAAAACACTAAGAACAGAAAGAAAAAGGCAAGATGAAGCCAAAATCGATTACGATTATTGTTTTTGTCAATAACTTGGTTCCACAAATTACTTGCAATTTAAGTATGCTATGGTAAAAAAGAATTCGTGACCTCAAAACCTTCGTACAAAACGTATTTTTTTATGCTTCATTGTTTCTTTCGTATGCAGGAAAGCATGGTTATCAATCCAAGAGACTTCATATCCCTCATAAAACTGTTAAGCCTAATCTAGCCTCTAGAAACAAGAAACATGAAATTATAACTCTAGCACCACCGAGTGTTGGTGCCTTACTCCCCTCAGCACACCATATGACCTTGATGCCTAACGGAGTACCGACAGCATTTGGAGGATACATCCACCACTTAATGCATCGCCATCCTCTGAACATTCCTGTTTACCGTGGATATCATGGTATTTACCCTGTTCATCTACCGCAACATTACGGACCAATTGGTCCCATTGGGCACCGTCTCTTCTACAGACACGGTCCTCCTTTCCCACATCGGTTTGTGCACAGTCCTTGGCCCCAACCACTGAGGCATACCTTGCGGTATGGGTATGATTCCCGTTTTGGTCGTGGTCTCTGGTATGGTTCACCTCTTGGACATATTCCAGCTGGTTATGGATACGGATATAACGGCTTTGGTGAGTGGGTCACTGATGCATTTGTTGAGTATAGAGATCAGTGTTATTGTTAATGAAATTCACATTACATGAAATGAGTAAAGATGGGTGACTTACAGCTGTGCTACCCTTTTAAGTAATGAAACTCCTTCTAACGTTCAATTTAATTATCATAAAAATTTAAAATTAATCGTGGTCTGCAGTCTGCCATTTGTACGAATTCAACATTGAAAAATCTATAATCTATTATTTTCTTTTGAGGACACCGGGGCTTTCAACCACTAAGGGGCTGGTATCCTTACTCATTTGACCACAGCGTTGATTTGCGTGGTGACAGTGGCCCATCCACCATGTTTGTCGAAAGAAGTTCAATACGTGAGTATAAGAATAAACATTGAGCTTTTTAATCTTTAAGAAACAAAACGAAAAAATTATAGGGGTTAAAAAATGCTAAAAACCGACGCCATTCTAATGTGTTTGTAATTATGTCGAGGTGGCCCTTGAGAGAGGTAGTTGATCATCATGCCAGCCTAGCATTCACGAAGGTTTTATTTTTCTTTCAACTACAGCTGCATCGAAGAGACCTGGACAGGGCAGAAAGGTTGATGTTCGTCGGCTGCTTAAAACTTGGCGTAAATTAATACTAACAAAGCGAATACCAATAGTATTTCCTCTCAGTCGGTCAATTTTTCGCTCTCCGTTAAAACGCAAAGTTATTCCATTGGGCCTTCGTATTCAACGTTTCAAGATAAGCCTGGCTCCGCTGAAAAGAATGCTGAAGCAATCCAAGGCGTATAGAAAACTATTAAGTTATAAGAACAAAAAAGGAAAATCCACCCGTGGGAAAACTGGGACAGCTACTAACAGCAATAACAATGTTACATAATAGTTAACAGGGTGCATTTTTAAGTTACTGGGCGACATAAGCTAAGTATACTCACAGGCAAACCTGTGTCGATAATCGTAGTAATCATGTGATCACGTTTAATATTACACTGTGGAAACATCTTAGAACCAAAAAAAAACCGTTAGCCGTTATGTTGATTGTGCGAAATGAAACATTTCATCTATATTTTTTCCATTTGTTCGTTCCTTTTTCTAATTGTTGTTTCTTGATGTATCGCTTGTAATAAATTGATAATAATAAAGATCAATAAATCCATATCAGTGTGGCTCTAACAGACTTGTTTTGAGTACAACTTAACCCTCCCAATCAAGACGTTCTTGATAACTACAACTGAACAATAGAGTTCAATTTCAAAACTTAGTCTGCCGTAACTATTTCTCAATGTTCATTGACTTGCGAATAGAATTCCTTTTCAAGAATTTCTTTCACAATTAGATGTTAGCATCAAATTGATGAATTGTTGGATTAAAGTTTTAGAATACCACTCTTGCGTCGACGGACGTCAAGTTAGTGGAAATACAGAAGTGTAACATATACGAGTTTACTAGTTGAGGAGATTTTTAGAAAAAGGTCTGAAACCAAAATGAGGCCACCTTTAAGATTCAGACCCTGAGCAGCGTTAATTTATTCACAGCCAAACAGTTTTGAACTGGTCTCGGTGGAATTCATTTCCAGTCATCATGAGTCCTTTCCAATCTCTGGGTTTGGGTGTTTAGTAGATCATTTGCAAAAATAAATTCGGGGCATGAAAGGCAAAATTAAAAATTAGAATAAAAAGGTGGAAGCTTGACATCATAAGGACAGCTACGAGTGTCTACGACCCATTCCGAACCCGAACCAAATTCCCTGATTTTGCTGAGTAAAATAGGACTTTGCTTTTTACAAGAGCGAGTGGCAAATGTTTGTTTACTCATTAGACATTTCAAGGTATTAGTCTCCAAAACTAATCTAGGCTTGCTATAGATGGTACCCGTTACACAAGCTGCGCAATTAAAAACAAAACAGGTTGCTTCAAGCATAATTAATTTCTTTGTTCGATTTGGCCTCTTTCTAATGGGTTGATCAAACAAGCGCTATCATCGACTTATGCTGCGAGCACTCGTCTTAGTTAAGGACGACTACTTCTAAACATATCATTTTTGCGTAAGTATGTGATCCATGCTAACTTTACTATGATCTTATGTAACGGTTGTGGCACGCTGTTTTGATTAAGTTTCAATCTAATAAATTGGCTA